CCACACCCACACCCACACCCCCACCCACACCCACACCCACACCCTTTAGACTCAAATTTAATTCTTTTAATTGTTCTTCAAGTGGATATAAACAATTATTTACATCAATATCTATAATTTTATCTTTAGTTTTTATTTTAAAAAGATTTAATTTTACTTTGAAAACGAAATCTTGATAAAACTTTCCAAAAGACAATTCCAAGTGTATAAACATCACATTTAAGTAAAGATGTTTCGTCACATCGAATAGTTCCAGCTAAAAGTTCTGGAGACACATAACGAGGTGTTCCAATCTATTTAATTTCAGATGAAGACTTTTATTCAAAAGAAAGAGAAAAGAAAGACTTGTTGTTGTTGATTTAAACTATATTAATATTGTTGAATTTGAGTTGACATAGTAAAATCACAAATAACAATATGATCAAAATCTAAAAAGAAGAATATTTTCTGACTTAAAATCTCTATGAGCAATAAGTGGACGTTTAAATTGATTTTTATTTCGAAAATCTTTACGAAGAAAATGAAGACCTTCACTAATTTGTTTTAATATTAATAAAAAATCTTTTTCATTTAAATAAAATTTTCAATTAAATAATTTTTTAATGAACCAAAAGATGAATACTCAAATAAAAGATAAAATAATTGATTATTAATTGAATAACCAAAATATTTAAAAATATTTTTATGTGGAATAAAACGTAATGAATAAATAATTTTTTCTTGTTCGAATAATTGTTTCGATTGTTGATCAGTTTCAAAGATTTTTAAAGCAATTTATTTTCATAAAAACCTTTTTTTATTCCACAAAATCTTCTTTTTTTGTTTAAAAACGGAATAAACCTCCTAAGTCAGCTTAAAAATGATCATCAGCAGAAATAAGAAGAACAAATTGAATACATTAATGACAGAAACAGGTGTAAATTCATTTGCCAATAACTCAGTGATTGCTGATGATGATGAACCAATGATTGTGGTGATGATCAACGAGTTTATAGTCGAACAATCGTTCGAAGCAAGGATAAAGTACTTAAACCTGTTAACAATGAACCTATTGTTGTTGGTAATACACTTTTGAAAATTAAAAAACTGAAACAAATATCCTATTCTCAGAAAAAGGAGTCCATGGAACGATCGTCATGGTGAAAAGAGCAAAGCATTACGCTTTTCTCAAACGGTGATTATCATCTACTTTTTATTTTTTCATCTTCAATCTCATATATTTTGTAGTAATGATAATAATCAATACAAAGACATATTTGCTCGAGAAGCATCGATCATCAACCAATCTCATCAACGAAAAAAATTTTTCTTATCGGATAAATGTAAATTCGATGTAATCAAAAGTAATTTATCTGACTTTCGTCATAAAATGAATCATACTTTTCTGTTTTGTAGCAATTAAAGGTCTTGAAGCTGTTAATATTCAAATAACAGAGAGAAATATCAAGAGTATTTCTCAATTGCCAAAGATACCGAGAAAAAAAAAGAAAGTAATGAACAACAAATGGAACTATTAAAAGATGTTTTCAAATCAACAATGTATGATTTAATTAATTTTTTATTTGGCTTAAATCAAACTACATTTTTCATTTTAGTGCCGAATTATTTATAGAAGCTTCCAAAAAAACTTCAAAAAAAAATAAATAAAACTTTTGTTCGTCATTTACTCATAACAACATCAATATCACGTTTTCTTTTCTTCATCAGATGAATAAAAGAAATCTAAAAAACAATATATTGTACACTTATGAAAAAATTGTTTAAAAACATTTTTTTCTTCTAACAAATAAAAAGAATTTTTTTCTCAAAAGTATCTACTTGTTTCAATCATTCCCTTGTTTTTATAACAAATCAATTTAAATTTCTATAAAGAATCTATTTTATTAAAAAAATGATTAATTACCTATATCAGAAACTATTACTGACTTCCGTTTCACATAAAGCATTTGATGAAACACTTTATTAGCAAATGTTAATTTAAGTTTATCTAATTGGTATTGAATATGATGTAATAAACTTTGAACTATTGATCTAATTGAACCACATTGAGCAAGAACAACTGATTTAAGATTAGAATAGTGAAGTAAATTTTAATCATTAAACAACCATTCATAACAAAGATCATAAGTAGATGAATTTCTTCCATCTGATCATCAAAGTTGACAGGGATATGTTTTTCACAAAAATTTCATGCTTTGTGGCAAAAAATAATTTTCAATTTCAAAATATATTGTTTTTCTTTCTCCAAACACCTTCATTGGATAGAACAAAGGAAGTTCTCTGCCATATATGAGTTCCACAAGTGTCCGCTTTTCTAAAGGGTTTATTTGAATAAACTCTTTCTATGAGACTAAAACGGGATGGTGAGATACTTTTTTGACCAACTATATATATATATATGATTTACTAATTCAATTATAATAAGTTGTACTTATATGTTTAATTTATCTATTTCTTTCTCCATTTCAATATTCAAGTTCTTCATTTTCATTTTTTAATTGTGTTAATACATGTATTGTACGTTTATCATTTTGTAATATAATGCAAAAAAATTTGATAATGATCTACTGGAAAAAATCCAATGAAAAAGATCTGATAATTTTGTACGTAAATCTCTTGATCAATCATCCTAATCAAAAGAAAAAAGAATTTATTTAAAAAAAAAGTCTAAGAATAAAATGAGAATAAATCTTGAAATGATCCATGTTTATCTGGTGCTGTGACATATGGTAAAGCAAATAAAGGAAGTTTATCACTCATTTGTGATACAAGTAACGCTCGTCACTACGACTCGTTTCACCCTCGACTGAATTCATTCTATTCACTTTGACAAATACTATCAGATAAATCGTCAGTTTGTGTGATGCTATAGCCGGCACCATACGAATAAGTCTTACAACTTTTGCAACTTGGAAAAAGCAACACTAGTAATGTCGAGTTCGGAATATGTAGTATGCACGCAATATTCTCACCATAGATTACATTTCTTTGGCTTTTTATGAGAAATTGGTACGATTTTGAATTAGTCGTCTTCACCACAACAATTGTCTCAGCTCTTTCGAAAAATACTCTATATTTCATTCAAAGCTTTACACAAGAAAAGACGTGTCTACCTCGCAAATGAATGGCGCGTCTCTCAAGGGCCCCAGTTGTGACTCACCGATCCCAAATTCTATCCATTTGGTCGAGCTCTTCTAAAAACTACTGTCCAATCTCTAGAAAGCTTCGCGAAAGAGAGGCTCATATTAATCTTAGAAACAAACGACGAGTCATTCATCGACGCCATTCGTAACTTGCCAGCTCTATATCCTATCTTCTTTCCCAACTAATCGTTAAGTTGTGTTAGGATTCAATTAAATTGGTTTCCTTTTAACGAATGAATCCATCTATCTGATCGAAAATGAACTCCTTTTTTATTTTCCAAACGATCACTGCATATGGACCATCGATCTATATACTTAGGGGGTACCCAAAAGTAGTGGCGGAGGTATCTTATTTTCTTATAAAAGGCTTGAGTAAATTTTCTTTTTTTTTATTGAGTTCGAATTTTTCAAATTATCGCTGTAAAATATTTAATAGTGTTTCGATGTTTTATTTTGATTCAAAAATTTCAATTCATATTCATAATGAATAATAATTCTTGTAGAAAACAAACAATAATTAAGAAGGATCACATAATTTTCTATCTCCGAATATGAAATTAATAATATAAATCAATAACATATTGACATATTTGAGTAGGATGAAGAAAAAAAGGCGTGGGATCATTTGACAATTCAATAGAACTTTTTTGTTGTCGTTGTTGTTTTTTTTTTAATTCATTTAATTCATATCTTGAACTGAGTAAAAACAATCTATACAAACTAAATCAGAATTTAATTTAGCATTTATTTTTATTTATAAATGCAATTGTGTCCGTTATTAAAATCACAATCATTAGTTTGGTTTTTTTTACTTTTTTAGATTTTTATTATTTTCAATCAAATAAAGGAAATAAAGATCAAATTTTTTGTTCAAATAAAGAAAATAAAAATAAAATTTTTTGTTCAAATAAAGGAAATAAAAATAAAATTTTTTTTCAAAAACGATTGTCAAGTTTTTGATTTTCTAAAGTTTCTTGCTTCGAATCGAGTATATATCTTCACCAAGTCTTAACGTAGATTTATCTCGAAAGAAACTTTTCCATTGCTTATCTCACCAAGTTTAGAGATAAACACGTGTCTCACTAAGTAGAGACGTACTCGGTATATACACGTGCTTAATCTGAGTGAGAAGTTGCTTTCATTTAAGATTTTAACGACTAATTTAATCGTATTTTATTTCATTATCTACGGCCCGGAAAAAATCAGTCACATCAAAAGTATTTTGAGCCAGTTTGAAGAAATGCCGAAGCTTAAAAAAAGATCTATATCTCAGAGAAATGCTGAGATAACAAGAAGAATGAGGGAAAGAAGAACTGATGATGAATTTCGCTTGTTAGGCAATAGAAGACGAGCAAACTCTCATAAAATTGCACGACAAGATGATGAATTCAAAACAGAAGATAATAAAAGAAGAGCCGAAGCTCTGAAAATTGCCCGACAAGATGATAAATTCAAAACAGAAGATAATAAAAGAAGAGCCAAAGTTCTGAAAATTGCACGACAAGATGACGAATTCAAAACAGAAGATAATAAAAGAAGAGCTAAAGCTCATAAAAGTGAACGACAAGATGATGAATTCAAAACAGAAGATAATAAAAGAAGAGCCGAGGCTCTGAAAATTGCACGACAAGATGATGAATTCAAAGAAGAAGAGAGAAGAAGAAATGCATTAAGAATACACAGTAATAGAGATAAATACAAAAGTAATTTTGATGGCATGAAATCAAATTATGAATCAAAAATAAAAGAAGGACCTACTCATATTTGTAGTTGTTGCGGTGGTTTATGGTTTGAGTATTCAATCAGAGAATATACAGTTGAGATGTTAACAAACAAAGGATTAAAAGCAGAATTTATTGATACAGTTTGTTATCTAAAACATGCGATCATTAAGTTATGTGTTACTTGTAGAAAGGACATCATGTCCAATAAGGTACCTAATCTCAGTCTATCTAATGGTTTAGCATTCTATGAAGTACCGAATTGTTTGAAAATCTTGACTGAATTAGAAGAAAGATTAATATCACCAAGAATTCCTTTTATGGTTATTCGAAGTTTAGGTTCTTGTAAACAATTCGGTCTCAAGGGTAACCTTGTAAATGTTCCCATAAATGTTGATACGAATGTTTCAGTATTGCCTAGAAGTTTCAGTGATACTCACACGATTCAATTGAAACTCATGAGACAAATGAAAAATAAAAATGCTTCTATGTATGAAACAATTCGACCAAAAGTTGTGCATACTGCTGTAAAATATTTGGTTGAGCAAGAGCTGTATAAAGATGAAGGAATTGTGATATCTCATGATTGGCTGAAAGAATATTCTAACGAGAGAGAGAATTTTATCATCGATGATGAAGATAAGGAATTCGATGAAAATGAAAACGTCAGCAAAGATTTTGATGACGAGGACAAATGGAATGAATATGACGATAAACTAGTCAATCCAAGTACTACTGCAACATTATTAAATGACGAGATTGGTGATAAGAATGATATTGGTATCAAATTTGCTGCAGGAGAGAATAACAGGCCGATATCGATTCTAATGGATTTAAAAGTCGATGAATTAACATTTCCGAAAATTTATTGTGGCAAGCAAAGAAAAATCAAAGCGAATGTTAAATTAACTTATGCTAAGATTGCCAAGTCAGAATTAAGAATGTTTGATCGAAGATGCGGCAGAATATCGAAATTGTTTTTCACATATAAGAAACTACAAACGAGAAAGTTCTCCGATGCTATTTCAATAAATTTGAGAAAGACAAAAAATACAAAAAACATAACTGCTACACAGATGCTCAATCGAGATTATGTAAATGGATTAATACATAATGATGATGCTTTTACATTCTTAAGATGTGATCGATCTTCACCAGCATTTTGGGAACTAAAAAAGAAAGAAGTTATGGCAATGATCAGGCAATTAGGATGTCCAACACTATTTTTAACATTATCAGCAGCAGAAACAAAATGGTCAGAACTAATTGTAATATTGACTCAAGTGTTGGAAAATAAAGTAATAACATTAGAGGAAGCAGAAAACATGAGTTATGAAAAGAAATGCGACTTGATAAGAAATGATCCTGTAACATGTGTTCGTTATTTTGAACATAGATTAAAATGTTTATGGGAAATATTATCAGCTCCTTGTGGTCCATTTCAAGGCTATGAATTAGTAGACAAATATGTCAGAACTGAATTCCAAGTTCGTGGTTCACCACATGTTCATGCTCTACTGTGGTTAAAAAATGCTCCGAAATACGACAAAGAGAAACCTGAATCGATCGAAAGATGTACAGAATTTATTGATAAATTGATTTCGGTTAGTTCTAAGCCAACGAAGTTTTCTGAAGAACTTATCAATTTGCAACGTCATAAGCACTCACATACTTGTAAAAAATATGTAAAAGATTGTATTAAATGTCGTTTTGGTATTCCATATTTTCCGATGAGAAAAACGATGATTTTAGAACCATTTAGTGACGATGAAAAGTTAACTAAGAAAGAACGTGAAGAGATCAGCAAAAATAGACAGAATGTAATCAAAGAACTTGACAAAATATCAAAAGATCAAGATAATTCATTAACTTTTGAAGAATTCTTGAAACATGTAAATATGAATGAAGAAGAATATATTAAAATGATTCGAGCTGAATTAAAAAAAGCGAAAGTATTCTTGAAACGTGCTCCAAATGAAATCAGAATCAATGCATACAATCCAATGATAATGTCATTGCACAAAGCAAATATGGACATTCAATTCATTCTTGATCCTTATGCATGCTCAATGTATTGTGTTGACTACATTAGCAAATCTGAAAATGGAATGTCTAAGCTTCTAAGAGAAGCATTAAATGAATTAAAAAAAGGTAATAACACAGTCAGAGAACGTCTTAGAGTTATTGCAAATAAATTTTTGAATTCAAGTGAAATTTCAGCACAAGAAGCTGTCTATCATATTTTAAGTATTCCACTTTCAACCAGCAGCAGAAGTACTGTATTTATTAATACGAATAGACCCGAAAACAGAATTTCTATGGTCAAATCAGATGAGGTTCTTCAGAAACTGGAGCCTGATTCAAAAGATGTTTTTGTTCAAGGCTTAATTGATATGTATATAAATAGGCCTGAAGAAATGAAAAATATCTGTTTGGCTGATTTTGCTTCATTGTATAATGTATCAAAAAAACAAACAAACAACGTTCAGATTACGGAAAATTCTGATGATGAAGATGTCATTGACAATGAAATTGATGAAAAAAGTGTTGCTCTAAAGATGAAAAATGGAAAAGGATGGATTAAAAAAAGAACAAAGAAAAAAATAATAAGATTCAGAAACTTTAAGCTACATCAAGATCCTGAAAATTATTACAGAGAGCAGCTGAGGCTATTTCTACCATGGAGTAATGAAGAAGAGGATCTTATTTATATAAATCATGAAGAGACATTTGAATTACATAAAGATTTGATTCGACAGAAAAGATCTGAATATGTTCATCGCGAAGCCAATGAATTTGAGCAAGCTTTTGAAGAGCATATGGAAAGAGAAATTGAAAATGATATCGATGATACAAATGTTGAATATGATCAAGATAAGAATGAATTTCTCATTTATGAAATAGGAAATAATGAAGGCGATATCTTTGTTGAAATGGGACTCAATACTCGAAGTGAAAAAGTTGAACATTTTAATGTTCCTAAAATAATACCAGATACTGAATATCAGGAAATGATGAGAAGTCTCAATAACAATCAAAGAAGATATATTTTAAATGTGATGAATTTGATAAAAAATGGAGATAAGCAATGTTTTCATTTTATTAATGGCGGTGCAGGTGTTGGCAAAAGTACTTTGATCAAAGCAGTATATCAATCGATACTGAGATTTTATAATTCTCTTCCTGGATCTAATCCAGAAACTATTCATACTGCAATCTGTGCGCCAACTGGCAAAGCAGCAGCACTAATTGATGGAATGACATTGCATTCATTTTTAAGTTTACCAGTTAATCAATGCAAACATAAACTCGTTAAACTAGACAGTGATATTTCAAATAGAATTGGAGTGAAATTGAAAGATCTACAATTACTAATCATAGACGAAATATCAATGGTGGGTTTTAATGTTTCAACACGTCGATGCACGTTTGCAGCAAATAATGAAGTCCAAAAAACCATTTGGCGGAGTATCAGTCATAGTTTTGGGCGATTTCAATCAATTAAGACCAGTTGGTGATAAATACATATTCCAATTTAACAATTCATATAATGCTTTAGTAGATAATCCATTATGGTCACTTTTTGAATTGTCGAATTGACGGAAATAATGAGACAAAAAGATGATAAGACTTTCGCTATTGCATTAAGTAATATACTAGCACATGCTTTAATGGTTTGTAGTTGTCTAAGTTCTTTACTATTCAATGATTCCTCAACAAACTCATCAAGATGTATTGCTACAGTTGATCAAGGTTATTTATTTTCTGTTAACATAAAAAATACAACTCAACCGCTATTATTCGTCCTGTTACAGGGTAATTTTGCATTACATTTAACAGGTCATCTAACAATTTTTATTTATATTCAATATGACATTGTTCGTAGTATCAATGTTAGCCAAGTGGGTTGTTTTTTCTATTGGATAAAATAAACGAAACAAGAAATACAATTTATAGGCATAACGACATTATTGGCTTTATGCACAGTACACGTGAACTTTAATCAAACAACAATGTTTTATGATACGAATAACTTCGATGGCATAATGAAGATATTCAATTTTTAGTGTGTCTGTTTTATGACTTACTGGATATCCTATAATACTGAAGTTCAATATATTTCTACTAGTTGTATAGATCTCATATGGGTAACATTTTAAACTGTAAATTTTATTCATTGAGAGTTTGACTTATACCTTCGAGAAATTAACAGATACCAAAAACATTTGAAGACGGCTTTGCTTTCGAAGTTTTTCATATCAATGGATTCATGATAATAGAATTTCTTACTCAAATCTTTTAATATTAATGAAATGTTATTATTCTTTAGATGAATATCTTCAACAAGGTCTTATGAGCATAATCCTTATATAACTGAAGGTGATTTTATTCTTCTTAAATCAGATGGTTATCCAACATATCATTTAGCAAATGTTATTGATGATCATTTAATGAATATAACTCATGTTTTACGTGGTCATGAATGGCAAACATCAACATCAAAACATTTACTTCTTTATAAAGCTTTTAATTGGTCAGCACCTATATATGGTCATTTACCATTACTTGAACGTGAACGTGGAAGAAAATTATCTAAACGTGATCCAGAAAATGTTATAAATCCAATTGAAATTGATTATTATCGTCAAAAAGGTTATTTTCCAAATGCTATATTAAATTTTATAACTCTATGTGGTGGTGGTGGTTTTACAGATGAAGATGCAATTACTGGAAAAACACTTGATGAAATGATATCATTATTTAATATAAAATTATTTAGTCGACATGCAGCTATAGTTGATTTTAAAAAATTATCACTTTGTCAACGAGCACATTTTAAATGTGAATACCAAAAATCAATCTAATTTAAATATAAAGATATGTTTGGAGATCTTAATCTTTGTTTATAGTTGTTGAATATGATTCAATGAGAATTATTCCTTTTTGAGATATTTGTTTTTTCAATGAGTTTGGTGATACAATTGCAAGAGAGTGAAACACATGTGTATATCTACCCATCATCATTAGATGATGATAAACAACTAATACTTGTAAGAAGTTTTAAATGAATCAAAAAAAAAAATTGTTAAATATTTTCAAATTGATTTAGCAATCATGTTCATCATCTTCCTCTGAACATAATGATTCCATTAAAGAAATACTACCAAATCATCGAAAAATTCTTTTTGATAAAGTACTTGGTGAAATGTTAACACGACATTTTTATTTAATTCAACATGAATTTTTATCATCAGATCGATTTGAAGGTTGGATTTATACATATAATCGTCATCGATATAAAATCATAATTAGTTATCATTCATCATGTTCACGTAAAAAAAAGGCGACCTCAAGATTCACAGTGATTTTTGATCCCAGAAAAGGATATATCTATGCTTGTCGAGAAGACTGCCTGTATCTAATGACATATGCATTATCATATTATATTCTGTAATATTGAGATGTCAATAGAGGGCACTACGGTATTTTGTAGCTACGATGGAATACCAAGAAGGTAACGCCCTCTGGTTATATATATCAACCGTACGCAATATAACTTGATGATACATAAACCATTAAATACAGGAAGTTTTCCTCTACAAATATACATATATCCCATTCTGAGTTCAAAATTTCATAGTTGTCTTTCAAAAGAATTGTTTGTCTACACTTTCTATTTGTATTAAAACATATTTTTTTACTGTTAATCTCTATCAATTGGATCTTCATCTTTCAATCACGAAATATGATCGATTTACTAATATAGATTTAGAATATATTTTGTAAGGATAACTTCATCGACTTTGTTCAATTGTTCCACCATCGTCACAATTAAATAAAGAAGAACAATTACTTTTAACTTTTAAACGTCAATCAATTGATTATAATGATGTTTGTCCAATATGTTTTGAAAGCTTGCTTATGAAAAATAGAAAATTAGTAACATATTTTTATTCATGCGGTAAATCAATGCATCTTATCCAATTGAGAAACAAAAAATATTTTTTTTATTATTTATACACTGCACCAGATTGTTTCTAGCCATTTGTCATCATCTATATCTATCTTAGTGCTTAGTTCAGCTATTTTCAAGTCTGATATGATTTATATTTTCATTTTATATTTTCTTTTATTCAAATAGAAATATTTCATGTACTCATTGATTCTGAATAAACAATATATCTTACTAATTCAACTTTTTATGGATTAATTGACGATTCATTACTATTGTAGACATACTCAATCTTTTGTTTGTCTTTTAATAAAAGAAATAGACAAAAGAATAGGATATGAGGAGATTTTTTTAAAATTATTTCAGATGAGTGTAACAAATAATTTTAAACGAAAAACATTTGCTGGCCAAAATTCACCAATGGCACAATCGAATGGTACACAAATTAAACGACCAAAACGGTATGATAATCTTAATATTCTTTATACACATCAGAAGAAAATAAACCTTCATTGTATTTTGACATAAGGAAAAAGATGTTTGATTTTGCAAAAAAAAATTTTTAACTAACTATGCAAATGAGTTCTGAGATATTGGCTGACAAGAATTTTGTAATTATCATTGAATTTT